CTAGAAGTTTCGGCTAGGGAGGACAACTTCAGTAAAAATAGGTTTGCGTACTTTATTTTTTAACAGTTCAAACGTCGAAAGCTCGCTCACTTCCTAAGTTCCTGCCGCGAGACTCCTTATTTATTACTATGAGATAGCGCAAAACGTTATCGGCGCGCTCCTATGTAGAATCCTTTAGCATGTGACAAAAAATGCTGATCGGGTTCAAAATTCGGTATTATAATCCAAATATAGAATTCTCTTAAATAGAGAGAAAATGTCCCAAATAGGTAGCATTGTTTATTACATTAGTGGCCATAATAGCTCACGAACGTATGACAACATCGTCTAATTCGGGGAAACATGGATGTCCGCATTTACGCTATATTGCCTGCAGATATTTGTACCATCGTGATGTCTTGCGATTTCGATTTTTTTTACGAAGGTGGCCTAAAAATAAGGTCATTAAATTTTCAACTGTTTCTTTAATCTGAGTCACATATCTAACGATGTTAGTGCCGAAGCCAAAATAAAATATGAGATTAGATGCATTTCGGATAATTATGTTGAGAATAAACAACTTTTCACACAATGATATTTTTCTTTATACGGGTAATTTATTGTATTCAATCAAGCTATAATGTCTGACACGATTAAAATAATGCGAATGATATCTTGGATGTTGATCAAAAATGAATGAATAAATATCTATCTAAAATTCCATTATTTCGAGGATATTACAATCATTTTCAATATAAAAATAGCATCAGCAAGAAAATATCAAACATGTGAAAAATTCCCACATTTGTTATACCAAATGTCACTATTTCATGCAATATCAGAAATTATTTCTAATGTTACGCAATAACAGTATCCAAGATGTACCAATGTATCTGCATTATCCTGAATCACATAAAGCAAAGATATTTGTTCGATAATTCAGAAAACAATATCTTAAAATGGCACGAAAGAAAAATTGAAATCGAAACTAAAATCACCATTACGCAACTGATTTTGGTAAAAAAAACTTCTTATCGGACCAAGATCTTAAGTTTGTTGGATAAGTTATGTGCCAATGTAAATAAGTTAGAATAATTCCAAGATAACTTGAAAATTTGGTAAATTATTTTTTGTTGTTATACTTCAGCTGAAGTATCGCTATCAAAATATTCGCCAATGAAATATCAAGTCAGACTTCCTCAGACAAAAAGTTTACAACAATATTAAATGTTAGTATCGGTAAACGTCGACTGTATCGGAACGGTATCTATATCCGCGATATTATAATACTAACACATCTTTCATTTAAATAGTGTACTCCATCTATGTAGCTTAGCGCCAATCAGATTAAAGAAATCGTGCAACCGCACTAGAAAACTATGTAGGAAGTTGTAAACAGATGTCGCATTAAGCTTAAGCCTCGATAACTTAATCCTGTAGTTTACATACATGTGACATTACAACATTCTTTCTGTTTAAATCCAATATTAATCTGAGAATAGTAGTCGTTTTGTGTCACTCTGTACCTTGAATCGGGTTCTGCTATATGCAAGGTGTTCATGAATTCCCCTTACAATATCAATTTTGTTATGAAGTTTATTTTCTATATATATTTCAATCATGTTTATTTGAGTTTTTACTGAATTTAACAAACGGTATATGGTATCGATAGAAAATTCTTTAATACTTTATGAAAACCCAGTCCGGTCCTTCTATATATTGAAAAACGGCTTTTCTGGAAAAAGGCGATACTGGAATTTGTAAAGCGACGTGATTCAAGTAAAAAGATTGATCATTTTCTTTTCATTTCTCACCCCTTTCAAATCCTTAACATATTTTCGCACCCCATTCTAAGATTGTTGAAAACCAATACAGCTTTTATACGTGAATACTACAATAATTGCATTATTTCTCATTTTTTCATATACACTAAACATGGAATATATTTGAACATAAGCAAATAATTAGTCAATTACAATAATACATAACTTTTTCACAGTGTTCTAGTTTAAGCAGAAGTTATTTTTATGCTAATATTCCAAATGAGTTATATCTTTGATAACCGTGTGTTTTTAACCAATACTCAACTGTAATAAAATGTGATATTTTTTATTTGTATATGCATCGTAATAAGCTAAAAATTGATGAATAATAAGTGTTACTCAGAAGAAAATCAATCAAAACCCTACACAATGTGGCGCAATTAAGGGTATGGTGGTTAAAAAAAACATGCCAAAAACTGCCAGAGTGACAAATTTTTTGGCAGATTACATATAAAATTACATGTCATTTGATCATCTAAATTGAAGGATTATTAATCACAAAGAATTATGGCGCATACAAGAGCTGCTACTGAGGATTAATATCTAAGAATAAACAGATAAATGAGAACTGATCTTCGACAAGTCATGGTTACGCCGTTGGCACATTGAAAATTAATTGATACGAATTATGACGCCGCAATTGTTCATGTGTGGATGACACAAACAAGGTCTTACGAGTCCAGCATATACCGTGTTACCCACAATGTATATCTCGTGGCGGCAACGTAATAATGATACCATTTTTTTTTATTTTTCCACCCAATTTTTATTAATGCTACGTAGGTAAAATTTGAGTATAGCGTAAACGAGGAAATAAAGTATGGAAGTTTTTTAGAACTTCGGGGTAAGAAAATAATTTTAACGTCACGAGGCTGGGAGTCGCATTTTACAACACAATATGACTTGTCAACGCTTAAGTTTATGCGCTATCCCGGATTTTATCGAACCCGCGTCACATTGGAAATTGTAGCCACGAAGTCATAGTCGAAAATGCTGACTCATTTTTGTAAATATCAATCCAACCCATTACAGTTCATCCTGAAGCGAAGGTCTATTTATGGCCTGCTATGTTTTACGTAGAAATTTTGTGTAGTTTATTATCAATAAAACAAAAAATCCATTTATTATAGAAGATTTTCATGGTATATACCGTGAGAAATAAACACAAATGTAGGACTAATTTTTTATTTCCTACGACGATTAATAATTACACAATGGGTTCGCGTGAAGCGCACTATAGCTCCTCATTACACTGTTTATCATCAAAAAATGGTGTATTTAGTGCGCCACCTTGCGTTTTGTAATAATTTTCATACTACCTTTGTTGAAACACATTGACGACAAATCAACTTTGCTCTAGAGCACCACCTAGAGTATACCACAAAAACATATATCTGGAAAAACATGGCACATAAAATCACGCCAGAGACGGAATATAAAGCTGATTAGTTTAAACTTAAACACTCCTAAAATTTTTACCTTATTTGGGTCCTAATCTCAGAGTGGTCTACTATAGATATAAAGTTGTGACTTATATTCATGTAAATGTAGACGTTAATAGCCTGTGAATATGAAGAGAATTTTCACAACATGGCATTGTTTTTTCTGAAAATATGCTGGTTGAAGGTGACCGGCTATGACTATAAATGCTTTATGATAGGATAGTATACAAACTCTTTATCTAAAGAAACATAAAAACTCCAGTCATTACAAAAGCTCAGTCAGGCCAGAAAGTAATTGATAATGATATTTATTTATTGTCAAAAAGTCATCTGTTATGTTGCATTGTTTATCTCTGTTTGAAAACTTATATTATGCATGTTATATCAGCTTCGCCGATCTTCTGCCCGATTTAATTTTACGTTTTTTTTTGTAATTCAAAAATAAGTTGGTCTTTTATTATATATGTAGTCTTTGCGTTTTTAAGTCTGTTTGACTTCCTGTAACAACTATTTCCAAATCAGAAGATGATCTATCTAGACAAATAGTCTGATCACTGACAATGTGACGATGAACATGACAATGTTCATAATGAAGGCTCAGACTTGGCTGTTTCAACAGTTTGGCTTAGGTTCAGAAGGAAGCCACGTTGATTAATATGAATCAACATACTTCACTACTTTAAATGTAAATTTTCTCAATGTTGACGATGATCCATCATACTATTAAAAAAAGAAGGAAAATATCGTGTCAGGGCAACATTGTATTGTTGTTGTTTTTTGATAAAATGTGGTTTTTCAATATCCAATTTTTTGGCATAATTTGGAACATCATCCAAGATGCTATGCAGTGCTTCAGACACTGTTAGATGGCTGTTAATGATAAATTGACTCAGTTTTCAGGCACATTGCTTGATGCAAGGTATGACAATTATGATACTATTTGCCAATAAACAGTATATTTGGCTTGTCTAAATGTGACAATTTTTTTAAAATTGAACGATATTCATTAATCAAGTACCGTAGGTCAAGTTTTTCAAAAGCACTTGAACTTTTTTGGAAGGTAAAAAGAGTGCATAAGTCTTCTACGACTAAAAGTGTTTCTGTATCTTTGCTTTTCTGCAATTGTCTTCAGACAATATTTAATCATATCTTGCAATCGTGAATCCTAGTTGAAGATTGATGGTTTCTGTGTTATCCTTCCTCTTCATGCAAATCTCTCCATTTTCAATTGTCTTCATATAATGTTTGATCATAGGCAAATGAGACCCCGAGTTGAGGTTTTCCATCTACACTATACTCGAAACAGGGGTCCCATATTTTTCAATTTATTTCTGCCTTTGCTTATTTTGAAATTCTTCATTCCTTCCTCAGTAAGCATAAAAACTTGTTTGTGAATGTTGTTCAATATTTAGCGAGTAGTGATAAGTATAAGTGTTGATACAGACAACTCGTACTCTGGCTTTCGCACAATTTGAATATTACATAATGTGTGCTTAAATGGTATTACAACACCCAAATACAAAATAAAGTTTCTCCCTAAAACAATAAAATCCTGCCCTGCATGATAAAATATCTTTGCATCATAATGACAGTTCCAGAAGCAGTGGTGACCATCACATCAAAATTCACCAAAAACTTGAACCTGGTCATTTCTTTCCAAAAAAAAAACTCCCTTGAAAATAACATACCAAACATAGTAGTAACAGTCTCAAAGTTTTGATTTCATATGATTATTAAAAAATCATTAAAAGCTTACCAGGCAAGGTTGAATAAAATTTTCTTCTCTGTAATGAGAGATCATGATGGTGTAGATATTGCACAGGAGGAGATTTAACGAGATGTGGATGAACATTAGTGGGCGATGATGATGAACTGTGACTGATATTAGACGTTGAATCTGAAAAAGAAATTGAAACAAATCAATGCTATTTACATTTGAGTGGTTAAAGCGTTGGACTTAGTGATCCTGATACTGAAAGTTAAAAATCTCTGTTTCATACCCACTACCTCATCCATGGTATAGTAAATTGGATAGACAATGTCGGACTGCAAATAATGACTGCTTATCTAGAAGTGGATGCGTTTACAGTGCCTTGATCGCGAGTTAGAGTATATAAATTATCTGAAAGAAGTACTGTATCTAAACATATAGTATGTATGTATATAAAATGGGATATGATGTGATACTGTAATTCATGACTAGAATTTGGTGAAATTTGAAGGTCATTTTCTTGTAAATAAAATCCCTTCAAGATGTTACTGTTAATAATATAGAGATTTTAATATTTCTTGGAAGGAGGAAAGATAACATAAAGGCTCGATCACATGATAAATATTAGCCTCTGATTTTGTAGCCTTGCATATTGGAATTGCTGACTATTTTGAATGTGATTAATGTAAGAGATTATCGGTAACAAGTAGTTACATGAACTGCTTGTACAAAGGTCCCATCCACTAGGAAATAGCTTTTTAATGATATCTTGGAAAGAATCACATAAATAGCAGACTTTTTTCAGCAAGACTGTAAAGGGTTAGAATTTCAGTAATTATAATATAAATTTTATATCGAGTATTGTGTTGACACTGGGTGGTCCATCTTTGGACTTCTTAGCTTGAGGGGAAAAAATTAACCAAGGAACCACTAGGCAGATTCAACTGATAAATCATGAACTAACACAAAAACACCAAAGCCCTATGGCTAATATTAAGATTCAGTAATGAAATTTGCGGCGCACCAGATGTGTGTGTACCAATATGGAGGTAACTAATTTTGTTCGCCTATTTTACATCAAGTTGTGTAAAGGGATGGAAGCCTATATGGGTAGGGAGTATATTCACTTGGCTAACACAGACAGTCCCCGTACTCGTAATAGAACTAAAATAATAAAATCTGAATAAAATTATGGCCCACACACTACGGGAGTATCAATTTGCCATGTTAGGGATATAGATAAATTGTATGTAAACAACATGGACAACATGCCTGATGCTTTGTTTTGTATCATTTGAACAATTTCCCCAGGGATATTGTTCATGTAATCATCTACTATCTATAGATTTTTAGATACGATAAAAATGAGACGTATTGACCAAATAAACACTTCAATGAGAATATGACAAGGAGCTGTCGTTAATTTGAACGCTGGTATTTGTATTGGAAGTTTCCAAATGTCAGAATTAGAGAATTGTTATAATGTGCTACACAAATACTTTGGATTCTCAATTCTATCATGGGGTTTGAGTAAGATCAAATAATGCATTAGGACTCAGAATGGAATAGTTAACCAGATAACCATCATAAAATGGTTAATGGTCATGGATGATTTTGACAGGAAACAATCATACCATGTAGTACAGTACATTCTTAACCAATGTACGTTCACCCAATAAAATTTAAATATTTCAATTTTGAGGCTTCTGACCACGTCCTGCCAAAGTGCAAGGTGAATTATCCAATCCACATTGTGGTGTGAACTACAGTTATATAAGAACTATTACAACTATTACATTACATTGGAAAGTAAGTGAAAGATGTGGAATATTTTAGCCCAAGCCAAACTAATGAATTGTGTGAGAATGTAATAATCCTAAGAATAAAGTGTCTCATGAGAAAAAATTAAATAAAAAGGTAGTTGATTCCATATCAACAAAACATTAATTTTTTTTAGTAATGCACAATGATGCAAATGCAATACTTCCATAGATAAATTGATATGGTGATTGACAAATCTTTTTCTTATTCCAAAAATGTTTGTGCCAAATTCACACTTTGTTGACCTAATGCTTAAGGCAAGGATTACAATAAGATTGTGGCATCGCGTGTCCTAAGCTGACATAGTAACGTGTACTTAAGAATACCAACAAACAAACAGATTTGCCAAAGATATGTTTTTCGTTCCACCAATTACCGAACACATTCAGAAAGCATGGCTTGTAAATTGAGAAAGTCATATTCCTTTATCTTTTTTTTATACGTCATATTTATAAGTTGAACTCAGGATTTTAACCTGCGACTGTGAGGTCATCATAGATGAGTCTAACCTTATGACCACTGGCCACAGGGTCCAGGACACATTTTAATAGAGGGAAGGAAGAGTAGATCTATTCTTTGATGGAATTGATATTCCCCAGCACATATAAGGTCCAATGGGTGCAGTCCCAGAATTATCAGGAACATTACATAGAATATTCTTCTTGCTACAGTATTCTTACATTACACGAATATGAATCCATGAACGCAACTAAATAGACTGATAACTCTCACATAAAGACGCTCCAGAAGTATGTGTACCAATATGGAGGTAACTAATTTTGTCCCGAAGTCCCCAAACTCGTAAAAGAACTAAAATAAGGAAAATCGAAATTGAATTATGGCCTAACCCTAACCTATTATACATACTACGGGGGTAACCACATAACACCAACTGAGAGTTTCATTGAAAGTTGCAAAGGAATATAATTGATTTCCCAACTTTTCATCAATTCAATTGTGCCTGGCAGTAAGGGATCCAACCAGTTTATCTAGATTTTTTTATACCACATGAATTTTACGGTACAAGCGCAATTAGCAAACAACTATTCTATACTTAATACTTATATAAGAAACTTGTTCTGTGGAAGCCGCTGGCAGCATGTGGCAAATCATATAACTGATACAATCACTTTCACAATAAACATGATATAGTTTTTGTAATTAGACAGAAGATTATGAGAAAAATCTGAGCTGTATGGTCTAAATTATTTTTACATTAGCAATGATTCTGAATCAAACCGATAAACTAATGGAGTAAATATGAAAATAAATTGAGAAAATAATCCTAATTTGTAACAACTTTTTCGATTTAGAATAAAACGATTAGGTCGGTGTCACTCAGCAAATGGTGACTCCAGGTGTTATGTTACACATATTATCGTGTTTCATGTTTCATCATTAAAATAGTCATGACATCAAATAAAAAATTGACTTGGTATCACAGTGCTACATAATATAACTTGTGAAAGTGTTAGCTGCAAGTCTGCAAGCAAGAATGTTCATAAAATTTGAAATAAAAGTTAACAAAATTTGAGTTCCCGTAAGTGTTACGAATACATGGCATGTCTTCAAATCCAATATCAATAAAATAGCAACATTTAAAGATTAGGAAAACAATATCCATGCTGATGCATAAAACCTAGTGCTATGCAGTTTTTACTGTATGCTTATTAAACAAAAGTCTTGAGGCCTCACATTTTTTAGTATCAGTCCAGCCATTTGTACAAAATATTGCTAAATGAAACACGAAATTCAGACAAACAAATACCAACAGGAATGATGGGAAGTAAGTAAAATTTGGATGTTATGAACATCATTAGGCTCTAAGATTAGTATAGAACTATTACCCACTATCCAGTTTCATTAGTCATTACGAGTTGTAATTGTTATCATTGACAAAAATCAAACCAAAAATGACATTGAGAAATGATGAAATTATTGACAAGAAGAAACGATGAAATTACCGTGTATAATGCGATGTTTGAAATTGTGAAAATAATAATCGATACATCATTGGCAATCAAAGTTTGACTCAGTTTATTAGTTACCGCTTTTAAGTTAGTATTCAATGGGTTAGATTAAATAGAATATTTCAGCAACTTCTATAAAAAAGGTTTAAAAAAAGGTTTAATTGATACATCATAATACATTTCATACCAATATTAAAAACAGTGAATCTACATTTGGCCAATGAAATCCCGGTATTTGAATAATATAAGAAGAATCAATCAAATAAATTTAGGTTTTGGTAAATTTTGTGTTAAAATATGTCAAATGATTCAATCCATGTAAATTTCACGTTTCTAAAATTAGTTGAACTGTGTTTTCCGCCGTTTTGAAACTTCTTGATTTTTTGATAATCTCAACAGATTTTATCTCAGAAAATTATATACCTTAAATCATGTTGTGATTAGATGACACATACTGATTTAAATTGGATAAGATCATGTGAACGCCCTATGTGAAAGAATCAAAATGAAACATCAAAATACGTGTAAAAATTTTAATGACGCTAAAATGCAGATTAAGACGCCACAAAAACAGTGCTCGGATCCAAAATATAAATCAAAAGATGAGAAATGTACTTTAAGAACGGTTATGTGAAGTCCATTCATTCATCTTGATGTTAAAGTTTGACAAATTGATATTTTTTAATATTAAACAAGGGAGCAATTCCCAAATATATGAACACGAAAGACCATCGGTACCAGTACAGTTCAGTCCTTAGCTGAGCACAAATTAAGCCGAGAAGAATTAGTGGACAAGTGTGGCAGATATGTGTGACGAAATAAATTGTTTCTGTACTTCATAAAAAGTGTCGTCATGACTTGAAATGAATGAGGAAATTTTTGGATGAAAACTATATGGTTCTATAAGAAAAAAGAATTAGTCTGGGATTTTCAACTGGTTGTAAAATTTAAAATCAACTACTCCACCGGTTCCAGGGCAAAGAGATTGTTTCATAATAGCAGCAATAACAAAAATTCAGCAATATATGTCAACTTCAGGTCCAATAAATATTACCGTACCTATTTGCACAAGCATACTTTGGCTCAAAATTTTGCTCTTGACCTCTCGCAACCCAGCTAACATCACAAAAAGTTGAGTTCAACTACCAAATTGTTGTCATAAAGCATTAACATGAAATGTTGTCTGTCAAACAGCCAATAACCACATATAATCACAAAACCCTATCCAAATAAACAGAATTGAGGAATCTATTCAACTCATTTTGGATACCGGAAACAGAATAGAACACTGATTAGGTTGTTAAATTAAAACCATAAATATCGATATCGCTATGTGAAGGATAGAGTAATTTAAAACTGGCAACTGGCAAGTTCAAAACTTCTAAGAAAATAGATTCGTAGTTGCATAAAACAAATTACCGGTATGTATGGACGATTATAACAAAATTAGCCCTGTCAAAATCGAACAAGTTATTACCAACTTTTGCGAGGGAGCAAAACCCACAGATATGCTTTGGCTGTGTATATGTGTATCTTTGTAAGTAATCTGATGTGAAATGAAAATTAAACAATCATCTCAAATTTATTTCATGTCAATACCTGTATATTAACTTACAAGTTCCTTGATAACATGAAGATTACTTAGTAATTGATATGTTTCAGACTTTTGAATAAAAGTATTTTCAATCCAAGAAATTTATATGATTCACTTTCAAGATGCATACGCCTATGTCTAATCATTTATGTACCGGTATGTATTTGCAATACAAAAAGAAAAATGAAATGGAAAACCTGCTGTGTTGAAATGATAGAAACATATTCAACTATAACAAAAGCGGCAGAAGAGTATAGAGAGCGTCGAGCACGGTTACCAGAGATTAATCTGTGACATCAAGTACACAAAATTATTTCAATGCCTATATATTAAACGGATCATTTCAATAATTTGATTATTTCTTGTTTCATGAATAGATTTTTCATACAACAGGTATGTCCTTGATTAATAGGGCGAAATACTAGAACCAGGGTTTCTTGAACTGGGCCCACAGAGCGTTTCTTTGGGGGCTTTGATAAGGGCCTACACTAAGTCTTATTCGCATAGACTACATTTACGGTACCTAAAGTAAATTACCTTGTAAACACAAAATTGTTGCAGCAGGGCAGGCATTCAGAGTCTCTGGAAGAAGAAGTCCATGGATCGTGAAAGTTTGAAACCAACATACAAACAGGAATATATAACTAATGCACATACCAGCACTCTCTTTTCTTATCCTCTTAGGGCCAGAACATCCAGTGCCATCCATCGTGTATTCTGAATCTCTTCTATGCATATTTGACATCAGCATATCAGGACCTAACAAAAATCAAATCAGTTTTATTGTCAAGACATATGTATTGAAAATAGGAAAATTAACAGCGAAATTAATAAAGTAAAACCCAATCAGAGCTCATTATTACTGATGTTCAAAACAAATAAAGTTTTCGAATCCAATTAAAACAAAATATTGAGTATAGCATTTTCAAGAAAATTACCATTTTGTTTTGGTACCAAGTGTTTGAGACAGGACCAAATTAGACATCAATCAACTTATGATACTGTATCTAATCTAATCAAAACATTTTTTTTTGACGTATTCAAGTTATATTCTAATATTGAATAAAAACATTTTGCAAATTTCTCCATTTACCGTAATAAATAGGATGTCCAACAAATCTTGAAATTTTTTAAAATTGCAAAGGGAATTTATCAATGCCATATATTGTTCTGGCCCTCACAGATTCATTGAATGAAGTAAAAATACTTGATTAATAACTGATTAAAAAAAAATGAGTAAGATATATTGAGAACTGACTTCATAACAAAATTGAAATTGTAAAGGGACTTTATGGACACCCTTTATATCAAATATTTACATGAAAAATATATACAATATTACATATAAAATCTTGCAGATTCAAAAATATTTCTCATAATGTATTGAGAGCAGTTTTAAAGAGAAAGAGTAGAAAAGCAAAAGATTTAAAAAAAAATTCGAAAACATGATGTAAAAATTCTCACTAAAGCAAAAACCTTAGCATAAACATGTTTTCAGATCATATTACCTTAATAATTAGATTTTAATCAGTGTAGATATGAAGCAAAAAATCTCAATAACATTGTTTACATTGCTCTTAAGTGTCATTTTTACGATTTCTATGATGTTACTCATACAGATTTTAAACACAAGTCCATCAAAAATGAAAATGTTGAGAGGGCTAGTCAAAACACCTCCTGTTTTTTTTGAAGATTTTGTTTTCATAACAGTAATGATCTCTAGATATAGATCAAATTTTTCCAAGTATAGTTGGTAATAATAACATTCCACATCAATGTCAACATCTTGCTCCAAATTAGCTATGTTGTCCGTTATGAGTCATATTATGTTTTAGATAAGTATAGGTAATTGAAATGACCATTTACTATCCCCATAAAAGCTTGATAACTGAGTAAAAAGGAGAAAGAATATTTGTTATTGGATCTTTTATATCAGGGATTACAAAACATTGACTTGCGGGTCACAAAGTGACCCATTATGTTTTTCTGGTGACCCGCCAAGTCAGATTAACGCAAAAAACACGCGAAATTTAAGTGATAAATGCTGCATTGATTCAATCCAAGAATAAGTGAACAACTATAATCTAACAGTATTGAGCTACAGACTTTCATTAGAGCTCAAAATTACACAATAGCAAGCAAAGATTAAAAAACTGCAGGAAAAATGCAGCAGCAAGTTTCTCATTGATGCAGACATTGATTAAGCATCTGCGACCCAAGTTCATGCATCTGGAACAAATAGCTGGCTAAATAATCCCATACCTGACATGGACTGGTAGCCCAGACAAGAGTCCGTGGTTCTCATACGATTGGGCCATCTTTATTGGTTTTCCCCCTCCCCCGGGATAAAAATGATACTTGATCTTTTATTATCATACCCTATGGGGTTGAATACTGAGTGTTGACTGTTGAGTGTTGACCCACACAAGGTAACCCCCAGCGTTGTGATGATAAACCCATTCAACATATACAAGCACGAACAATTCTAGCAAACCGTCACTTATAGTTCAAAAGAGATTGAACAAGTCAAATTCAATGATTCTTTTGTATCTTACTTGTGACAGGAGAGGTTGTATGATGAGGCATCACCAAAGGTAAGTGTCTTTGCATTAAGTCGGAGGAGATCGGTAATCTAGCACCAGTGTTCATTGTGAGAGGCATAAAAGCTGCTGTGAGTGCTCTTGCTGCTACATTTAGTAATACGCCATGGTGATCTGAGAAATATAAATAAAATTTAAAAAGTACATCAATTGGGTATGCAATGCCGAACTGGAAAGATTATGGTCTTTCCATGAATATTAGCTTCTTGCGCATCAGTTGATGCTAGTTGAGCACTGCTCAGAGTGAAAATGATTTATTAAAAAAATATTTTTTAGCTTGAAAAGTTTATACTTTTGGATAAGAATGCCTGTTAAATATGGACATTTTGCCATTTTACAATTTCCCTTTATAAAAATTTAACTTTAAAAAACTTTATAATTTATAATGTAACTTTATAAAACTTTAACAGAATTCGATGTGACTCTTATTTTGGTATTGAATGAAGGATAAGTACCGGTAGTTCAAACACTGTAAGTCCCAACACACATGGTTTTATTTGATATCCCATGCACCTCACATGACTATAAAGCACAAGTTAAGCAATAAAAATAACTGCAACGCTATTCAACTATTCGAAAGTAAGACAATTCGGAAACCACCTAAAGCAGTCATGAATTCAACCATGAGGAGAGTATGTGAAGCAACTTGGTGTTGAAATTTTGTTTATTGTTTCCAATGAAATTCTGTCATCGACTACTTTTAACTTAGCAAACTCCTTACATTGAATACTGTATATATATCATATATCAAATCAGATATCAATATCAAATCTTGTGATTCAAATCTAGCAATGGGCGAATTGTATTATTTAACGAATAAATCCACAGGTAATTCAGAATGTTTGTTTTCTTCATAACAATTAATAATAATAAATAACATAATAATTCAAAATGGGAAAATAAAATCAATATTGATTAGTTCCGGGCAGTGATGTGGAGTCGGGTGTCGGGTAAGTCACAATTGACCCTGACCCCCGAGTTGAAAAAATTTTTGTCTCCGATTCAGACTTCCATTTCAGGGTTGTAAAAATTCTCCAGCTGAGTCTGACTCCAGCTCCGAATACTGAGAAAATTGAACCATGAAAACAAAAACTTTGGCATATACGGGAATCCTTCGATAGACGTAGGGAATGCTTAGATGTATCATTGCTTTTTAAATTTCAGTAGGAAGTTTTAGGTTATTTTATCACCATCGGATGTCTGTGCAATTTCGACTTTCAACTCCAGGGAGTTTGCTAAACACTGATTAATATACTCAAAAATTATTCAACAAACCTGGTACAAGTCCTGACGCACCAGAACAATACATTGGTATTCCAAGTGCAGCAGCATTTGCGCTTTGTGAAATCATGTTGGAAGATGTTTGTGGCAAAATAGGAAAATAAGGTGAAGAGGTGACAGGCAAACAGTTTGGTGGTGTCTGCGGCATCATACTGGTGCCGTAGTTGACAGGAGAAGGTGACAGTGTATTGACAGTTGTTTGTTGACTTGTGGGAAAGTTAGAGGTTGACTTGACTAATATATTAGGATGAAATATTCTTGTAGATGGAGATAGTCGTTCCTGTAAGGAAAATGCAAGTGCAAATGAAAATTAAAAATTGCCATTGATTAAAATTTTCATATTTATCCCAGGGAAAAGAGATTCAATAAGACAGCTTCTGAATATGTAAAAGCACAGCCTCCCTCCTAATTACCAGTTCATGTTGAGCATGGTACTAGTCAATCAGTAATTTGTTTCAGATGCATGGACACGATGGTGGAACGGCTGTAACCAACCAGCAGCTCTATTGTGACAGTAGTCCAGCAACCCATGTCATTATGAAATAGCACAGTGAGCTTTTGCCATCTTAGCATTGGTTTACCATTGGTAGATTTGCATTCCTTTTTCCTACAATACTATATTTTTACTTCATGACTTGTAATACATTTGAGTATGCAACATCAAAACAGAAAGATTCATGACATGGCCCCGCTAAGCTATAGACATAGCTATAGCTAAGCTAAGTGTCTGCTTGTCCAGTGCTTTATTTAGAGTAAATACATATGCAAAAGAAAATTTCCAAAAAGAGTAGTTGTAAAAAGCCTAGAAGAAAAGATGCAAGAACAACTACCTAATTGAAATCTAAAAATTAAATTTCCTGTTAAGTCTTGATACATTATACTCATAAATTAATATTAACAATAATAAATCATATTTCGATATGAACATAAACTCTTCTGACATGCCATACCCAGATTTAAAAATGACTGAAATATTCAAGAGATCCATAGTAGCCAAAGCCGGAATCTTATGAATTTTACATTCTTACACAAAAATAAAAATTTGGATTTTGGTTGTTATACCCTGAAAGAGAAATCATGAATTGGTACTAACCCGGTTTTATTTTGTCTATGCCTATTCAGGCAGAAGAATAATAAAACGCAAATTTACCAATAATCTTCTATTTTTACTTAGAAATTGCATTATTCACCATGTTTATTCGTTCAGTAAGATGACTAAGTTTGAAAATGTCAAATCAATAAGTCTGAGCTTCTTGAAGTTTTACAGGTTTCAGAATAATTATGATACCCAAACTTGGGATTCAAGATAACAATACACATCAGAACAGGTGTCAGTAGATCATGAATAAAGGACACAAGGTGTTTGTAGGGCATAATAAATGCTCAGATCACACGCATACCAAACGACTGAAATAAATTGGGTACACAATACCGAATTGTAAATATACAGTAGCTCCTTAGAAATCAGAGCTATGTTCTTAGTAAAAGAAGTGTAAAAACATTGTATATTCAGGAGAGCAGGGCTCAAATATTATGGACAGGAAGGACAAAACAAACCGGTTTCAAATCTTTCACAGCACCGGTATCTGCATTCTGCAGTCTATGTAACAAAAAACTCCAAACTTGCGATCGAGATATCCCCACACTGTGCCCAACTTTTACGACGCCATTAGCATTACACAAAACTTCAAAGTAAAAAAGAAACTCATAGAGCCCACAAAAAGTTTACAAGTAAATGAAAGTAGCAGTATTCTAACGACAACAACAATCTTCAACCACTAAAAATTTCAAAGCAATTTATCCAGTAATTAAATGGGAAAGTAATTCTTTCTCAATAACAAAAGTACTAGCAACAACATAATACCAAAACAATCCATAGGTCCACTTCGTGTCCAAGAATAAGGCAGCATAAAAACACTTATGAATAAACAGAAAAATTCTGCATAAAATACTTACTTGAACTTTGCTTGACTCTTGTTGTTGTAGAATAGTAATAGCGGCCTCCTGCCCCGGTGAGAGTTGACTCATTCTATTCTATTTTACACCATTAGTTCACAATTTATTTTTACATATACACTAAAATAGATTGATAAAGAGTTAGATACCCAGACTAATAACAAGACAGAAGGATGCTATATGATTATTAAGCCATATTGTGAAATTTTCATTCTCTTTAATGAAGTATGAAAACCCTATCCTCAATAACAACAAATATTTTCTGTTAGTAAGGTTTGAAATTTTAGTCCGTAAAATAGAAACCAATTCTGTGTAATGATGGATGTCTAGCTATTCAGATATTGGAAAAAGTTCTTTCAAACTGCAAGATCAAATTAAATATTGACACCTTCTTATCGGTGAATCACTCTCCTTTCATTTAAAACCAGATATCAATCACTAGACACATAGACTTTTCATGTACGACTTGTTGACATATCTCCATATGCTTGCGTACGTACATCTGTAAAGTTCAAATGTATCCTCAAGAGAAAACATGGATTCCAATCAAAGTGTTGGTATGAAGCAAATCATTCGAGAATGTTTGCGGAACAAGAGCCCAACATGTACGAACCATGAATGGGGATGACTCAATTCCTGATTTGCAAAATTGTTACGAAACCACAAACAGCGGAGAAAATTTAATAAAGACCTGGAGTTCAATTTGGTGTAATGAGTGCTCCATTAAGTGTGTTCAAAATTAAGTAATGAATATAAACCATCACAAAATGAAAAAAGTTGCTTGTGCATGGTCCGTTTCAGAGTGAATAGGTGAGAAGGCGTCATATAAAATTAGATAATAGTTCACTTTGGCAATATTACCTCTTTGCAGTAGTTTGGCGTATTATGCATGAGACACTATTTACACTAAAAAAGTATACCAATTTCTATTTTTACATTTACATCCATACATTTGAAACAAAGAAATCCCATACCAAATGAAAAAATCTTGAAGCTAAAAGGTTTCATTGATGTTTAGACCTATACCAATATAGTCTTTATTATTATTATAGGATTTTTCATTATCAAATAAGGAGAGAGGGAAGCTGATGAGGCACAATCATATCATGAACCACAACCTCTCTTCCGGTTACCAGACCATGTCCAATTATGATTTAATAAACCAGATTATTTGTTTCAGATGCATTGACTTGGGCTCATATCCTATTCAACTAAAACTAGGTTTTCCCACAATGAAAAGTACTGCTCTGTCATAAGATTATCAGGTCCAAAATGTTTGATTTGATTCTGTGTGAAAGAAAATAACCAGTCTAACTAATTCCAACCCCTGAATATCATTTCAAATATACAAAAGTAATAAAGTGATAATTATCTGTGTAATGATCATGCAGGAAATTATAGTTAGGTCAGGTCACATTTGATACGAGAGAACAAATAATAACATGAAATGAGAATTGATTTTGGCATTATTAATAAAGTTCAGATTTATGGCAAATAATCGAGATTCAAATATAGGACTAAAAAGGTAAATATATAAATTTACATATTATACTCCAATGATCAAATAAAATTTATGTCTCTGCTTTGAATGAGCAACTTTTATATGCAGAGACCAACTCTATTTGAAACAATTTATATCTTTACCTTAAAACACCACCTGCTTAATTTATTACAACGATAATAAGATAAAGTGACAGGAATAGACTTAAGATCTTGCACCTGAAATGCCAACTTATGTAAGCTTATTATGATAACTATCACTGCCTCTGCCCTCTACAAATAAAATGAAACTCTTAATCATTATTGGACATTTATGGTACTCCTGTAGTATGCGATCCAAGATGGCGGACACCGTAATAATTTTATTCCAAATTTTCCTATTTTAGTTTTATTACTAGTTCGGGAACTAGCCATGTGACCCCTGAAATCCTAACCTAGTACACATACTCGTGTTCGCCATCTTGGTTCACATACTACGGGAGTACCCATTTTATTGAGTAAGTATACCAGCTAGTCCATTGAAAGAAATAATCTGAATGAATACCTAATTCGGTTCCTGAAACCAAATATTTCTATCCATTGTTTTCTGTAACCAAAAATATTTACGACACACAGGTCATAGGTCAGATCACAGGAAAAAGTTTCCAACTCACTAGATCACACTCGGAGGAAAAACGTAACTAAAATGTGAATCATATTTGACGAGAGATATCATTCACGCTTGACCTTAATTGTTATTAAATATGACACATAGGTCAGTTCGAATTTCGAAGAGTAAGAATCAGATGGGAATTGAAAAATATTAATCTCAATGAATTCATATCTGGCATTAATTATCTGAATCCATATCTGGTATTATTAAGCATGCTTCATTACTATATAAAGGTTTCGCCAAAATGTAATAATATTGGCATTACAAAGGTCAATCTTGACTCAAATACAAGATTAAAGATATTTGAACCAAAATGAGAATGTGGCTCAAGTGACCTGTAAAACATATACGTCAGAGCACATCCACAATAAAAGTAACCTAATCGAAGGTTGATGGAAATGACCGAATAAATCAGGTTGATATGGAGCAAAATAAATTCATATATAAAGAGTAAAGTAGAAATATCGTAAATAATTTATTTCTATAGCCCTGTTCTATTAGACTTGCTATTTGAGAAAAAATGAATGTGTATTTCCAACATTACAACGGAAGACATGCCTACAGGCACTTGGTGCAACAATGCATTCGGAAACCCAAAATTTTGCGGCGTAGACTGGGGAATAATTATAGTCAAATGTATGGTAACAGAAGGAAATAACAGAAAATGTATTGAAACAGATTTTGCCCAAATAATTCCTTCAATGTAAAGTGCTAGGGCACATAAAGCAAAATCCCTGATAATAATAGTTGTTTAAACATTGCTTCGATAGATAGTTCAAGATGATAAAATTTGAGTGCATATACAATACACACCACAATCATTACCTTATACACAAGCACTTAAGATGAACATCGTGATGGCATTTAAACATATTATACATGTACATGGGAAATTTACAATTGATAAAAACAGTGGTGTAATATGCAGGTAAAAAGAAAATTTCAGATGGATAAAACTTTTAAATTTTCTGCACGCTCAATTCTAATCAGCATGTTCATCAATTCTGAACCGCTGTGAACTTTTTTCAAATATATCATAATCAATTCATTGTCAAGTCAAAAGATATGTTATAGGAGAATATAAGTCATTGTTGCATCTAACATTTCATTTCCTTGTCCTCAAGAATTCTATTTTGCAGTATGCGAAAAAAAACTTACCATATATCCTCGCATATGAGACGAGTTTAAAACTCAAAAAAATGTTTCCCAACTAATGGGCCAACTCTGATCACACTAAAGGGTCGGCTTATACGCGCATAACTCTGATCAACGAAATGACATGAAATTTATAGGATTTTGAGACAGTTCTATAGTTACTCATAAATGAAAAACATACCAATATTGGTTATCATTTTCATTAATCCTATTGTGCAACCATTTGCTATGATAAGTGCATACGGCGAGTTACGATTTGTAGGGTCAGCTTATATGTGAATTTTTTTTATAAATTCATTGTTCAAGGTCGTTTTTAGGGGTCAGCTTATATGCGAGTGTCCCGAAAAGTGATTGGTTTACTGAGGCACTAATTTTCTAACAACCACTGCCGCACATACTATACAAAGAATAATTCAAAACCAGCATTCCTAAATTACAGATGAAGATTGTTACTAAGGGACAGATGGCACCAAAGTAAAAATTTGAATACACTCCAAATTTGTAAGCCATACTGTATAAATTGATGTTCAAACACAATTATCCCAAGATGCAGGTTTTCTGCTTCTTTTCTGCTACAATCCCTGTTCATGATCATAGTCATGATCAGATATATCAATGTCAGACCAGACAATAGCAAGGAACCAAACTATATTACATACCCTTTGAACAGAAAATGAACCATGCCTACAGCAATGAAAATTTATCAAATTATGATCAATTGGAAATAAAATACAAGCGGACAAATTTTTTCAGTTAATTTGACAATTTTAAGTAATCTGAACCGTTTTGCACAACTGATACTTTCCGATCTTAAAATTAGGCCAGTTTATACTGTAATGTAATGCCTCGAACTCGGATAACAAAAAGATAGAATGAACTTCAATAAAGCAAAATTTTGAGTGGATGGTGTAAGTAGACCAGGGGATGGCAACCTTTTGTCGCTCGCGGGCCAAATTTAAGGGGTTGCAAGTCTTGGCGAGTCGCACATATTTTTAGAAAGTTAAAAACCAAACGGATGGCCGATGAATCACAATTTTTTCACATAGATCAAAAGTTGAAATTTGGAATTTTAAGCAGCGCACGAAGGCCGTGGGTAACCTGGGTTCAAACACCTTCTCTAGGCTGTGTCTCGGTAGACTAATCTGAACCCCAAAGATTGTGATCCTACCAAAACAATACTAGCTCTACACATATCAGTGCCGGATTGTGGAATGCCTCATGAAAAGCAAGTAGCGTGTACTTGTGAATAAGAAAAATCCATGTATGCAATTAGTCTAACGCAAATCTAAGTCATTTGTTCAGTATGGGAAGCAAATGAGATGGAGTTACAATATCAAAATGTAATTTAAAAAAATTGGAAATAGCGAAAACGATATTCCTAGTATAAACTTGTATCTCCCCAAAGGGGAAAGTACAGCTCATATGGCGAGTCACAGCAACTCATATTATTACCAGTCCAGGTTAATTAGGTATATAATGGTACTTTCTGGATGATATCTAAAATAACGAATTTTTTCTTATATTCAACTTACAGCGATCGATCTTAACTACATAATAATACAGATAATCATTTCCAAATGATGAAAACGATTACCAGGCCTCTGTGAACCATCCATCAATGACAAAAAGTTCAGCAATGCACTGACCAGTGATAACAAATAATTGAAATGGTTTTCTACAGTAATAAACTCAAATAACATTCTCAAATCATTTTATGAAATAAATGCCCCGTTTCAAGCTGTATTTGTAACCTGGGACAGCATTGCTATTTAAAATCCTACCTTATTAAATACACTTGCAGTTGACTAATTTATTATT